AAGAGCGTCTAAGAGTCTTCTCGTCGCCGTCATCAAATACTGTCACCAGGTAAGAAGTGAGGCAAGAAAATAAAAAGATTACTATTTTTTTTTTTTTTTAAATCGGGGTATCAGTAAGTGATTGATTTAGGTGTCAGAAAGAATGAGATATATATTCCTGTAGCCAGTCCTTAAAACAAAGCTGTACCTGGATACTGCTGCATATACAGTAAAGCATTTGCACAGATTGACCAAATACATAAGCTGCTGTCTCACCATAGCTACTCCATGCTTGCATATGTTAAATGGAATCTCAAGTAATTAGTAGTTGAGCAGACGATTAATGGATCAAGACACAAAATTAAAAATTAACGCAAGCTACAATTGAAAAACTATTCTTCAAGTGTTTTCAATTTTTGCAGAACTTCATTACATAACCAGAACTCCTACAATATTCAAATGGAAGCTATGCTTACTACGGAGAAACATAAACAAGTTATTTTGAGAAAAAAGTTACAGTTTAACATTATATCAAAGTTCGGTATCTTTCTCTACTGACTTCATTGAACTACCCTATAAAACAACAGTGATATCAGCCTAAGGAAGATGACAATAGTCAAAAGTGCAGACAATCATCAAAATCAACTGTAGCGAGGAAACTGTGGAGCTCCTGGTTTCTAGACTTTCTACCACCTCTGCTATCACTCGGTCAACTGGAAACAAGTTCATAATACAGCTGACCTCAGCTACATACTTTATCCTTTTGAATCCTGAAATGCACTGCACACATTCAAGGTGGGATCTTCAGAAGCTGATAAACTGGTCATATAAAAAGTAAGCTTTTATCAAGTCTTCTACAGGTACTTAATGGATGAAAACTTGGTGACAAGTTTTAACTCTTGGGCTATGCTTGCACTGTTCAGTGAGACAAGAACTGTCCTCCTCTCCCCTCCCCAACAGTGATAACAATTATATTCTTGTCCCCACACTGCAGTGACCTTGAAGACTTTTGTGGGCACAGAAACAATGCCAAGATTAGATTAAAATACTGCATTAAAAGGTAAAAGTTTCAGCAGTTTCTCAACACGTCTCTTTCACCTTCATTCAAATCTTCTGTCCATCAACAGTACTGCTGAGCCCATTTCTGTCAGTCTCACTAGAATTCAATCATGTGGTAGAAAACTAAAAATATGTAAAACATTTTCACAAATGAGTCAAAATAACGGTGTTAGGAGAATGGCTGTCAAACAGTAAAAGATGGCTGGCATAATTAGAGAGATTAATTTTCAGCCACATCTGGCTTTCAAATAGTGGGTGCCATACTCTATTTTCGACATTTACTAATTTAAATAAAAATATACAAAAAGCAACAAGGTACATTAAAATTCTTAAGTAGTATTTATTTGATATGAAAGTAACTTTTACCTAGTTCTGAGAATTTTTCGTCCCTATATAAAATTTAGTACTGTTGATGAACAAACTTCCTCTTGTGACTACCATTCCCCAGTCTGTTTTATACTACAGTAATTGTTGAGTACTGTTTAGTGATAAAAGTATCAGTTATAGATGCATATCTGTCACTTCAAAATTTCTTGAGAATTATCAAGGGCAACAACTGCACAAGAAAACACAAAGATTTGGAGCTGCGTCTCAAATGGTCAACACATAATTAAGCCCCTCCTTGGTTAAGTGAAGTAGAAGGCAGCAGGTTCCTAATTCAGTCTGTGTTAATTAACATAACAGTCTCCTTACATAATGAGAGATTAAAAAAAAAAAAAATTCTATCCACTTGAAGGGATAAGCTGACTACAAAAGAGGTAAACCTATTCAGAGCTAGGTAGGTAGCCACGTTATGCATCCTATGTAGTAATCTGCTTGTGGCCTCTCCCCTGCCACAGGGATTCTTAATCTTGTTCCATGACATGAATATATTCAAAGAAAAAGCTTCACCTCCCTGAAAGACTTGTGTGGCCAGAATAGCACATATGGCTGTAATATGACATTCTAATGGAACATCCTCAAAACAATCTACTGAGCAGACATACAGGAGTGTAAAGCATTTAAAACGTATTCTGAAACTGCAAGAAAAAGCTAAAAAAAGAGGCAACTCAATGCAAATAAAACCACTTTGAATTCTGAGAAAAAGCCATGTAATGACAAAAAAACACTCAGAAGGGGATAAGACTACTTTTGAACATACACAATTCCGCATTTTTAGTAAAGCAAACAATCCTATGGGGTTTTTTTTCCCCTCCTAGTAAACACAGGGTTAAATGTCAAGAATATCACTTAAACTTTCTAAGGACACATTTATATGAATGACCAAACAGTTATCTAGTTACCAGGATTGGAATACCTTGAGCTTTTTGAGGAATTTTTATAGGACAGGCAAATAAACTAAGGACACTTCATGTATTTATATAACTGTGCTATATTAAAAGGCTATACCAGTTGGGATTTTTTTTTTTTTTTTTAAATTTGATTTAATTCCTATCTTCCTTTGGAAGGAAAGTAGTAGCACCAAAAAAGACATGTAAGCAAACTCATGTACAATTTCTATTCAGACAACATCTTGTGAATGTAAGACAGATAGGTATGCTATTAAAGCAACCCTGCCTGTACTTTAGTGTTAAAGGAGTTCTCAAGCAGCTCCAAAATAGTTATTCCTCTAAATTCTACATGCTACTGCTGCAGTGGCATAAATGGTCTTAAGTAACAACTTCTGGAAAGGTACTACTTCAGATCTCTCTCCCTTCACAAAATTTTTGACCAAATCATAGTAATTGTATTCACAAAATCATTAACGATGCAAGTAATTAGGTACTTCTCAACAAGTGCCAGGACAACATTAGATAACTCTGCTGATTAAGATGTGTGCTAATTCTGAAATCCGGTAAATGGCAACTATCCCTTCAAGTAGGACTTTCATTCAGATCTGCAGAGTCATCACTGTCTGTACAGATAATTTCAGTCTCATTCCACTCACCCTCCTGACAAAGATTATTCTAATCATCCACTGCTACAGTCGCTTCTCTCTCAAAGTGCATTGCACAGCCAGCAGCTGTGCAACTTCTACTGATTCTGCAAGGTCAACATGCTTTTGTCTACTTTTATCTACAAAATACGGTTTTCGGTCTCAACTCTTACATCTCCTCTTCCTACTTTTTGAGTTCAGGATTCTTCACAGACATCTATTTTGATTTACAGACTGCAACTCCGTGACACTTACCTTCAAAATTTAACCTGCATGGATTCCTATCTTATTCCTCTTGCTGAACTGCTAACCTCACGCTTTCTCAGAAGCATAAACATATACATATAACATAGTTCTCACACCAGCTATACCATTTTGTTCTTAAAGCTCTCATATATGATCCACTTCTATATTATTTACCAAAACACTATCTATAATGTTATTTCTTGTCTTTATACCTCATGTTTCACCTCATCCTAAACTGGTGTCTCCTTTACTCATACATTCTACTTCTCCAACAAGAAAACAGATATATATTTTGCAATGCTTATGTGGAAGGTCTTATCTAAACTTACAGCTCTATTCCTTTCTAAAAGGACTATGACTAGGGAAAGTTAGTCTTTACCTAGTTGTTCAACATCACTTCATCAATAACAACCCTTAATATCTCAAAACAACTAAGTCTTGCTAAGGTTCTTTCAAGACCTGGTCTTCATCTTCCCATGTCCCAGTTATCTGCCAAGGAGAAGAATATGTAGTTTCTCAAGAATGAATAAATTTCCTGTAACACCTTTAAGACTACCAGTGCACAGACAGAATATATGTTATTTTACAGTTGACCAGTTTTTCCCAAGACAGATTGATCTACTGCTACATAGCATTAAAAAGTAAACGCATGTATATAAAGCCTTTTTTAAAAAAGTATTTAAAGGGAAAAAAAAAAAGCTCTCTTTGCTTGTGGGCCTGTGGATACATCATCTAAAGTCTGAAATGTCACATTAGAAAATAGGGAAAACTAACAGGAAAAGACTTTTTAAAAACAAGCTATGTCTGTTTTTACAGCAGCTGTTTTCAGGGCAAAGTCCAAGAGCAGGGAAAGATAAGTATTGCAACTTATGTTTTAAAAGCACTTCTTTTCCTTTTTTAAGCAAGTATGACAGCATACTTTGCTTCAGAATATTTAACAATAGTATATCAAATATCTAAGAAGCAGTTACCAATTATAGAATGATTCACTAGATCTTTATTTGGGGTCCCAATTTCACATTGTAATGGGTACAATTTCTTACAAAAACCCAAAATAAGAACCTTAGGTTCTTTGGTTTTTTGGTTTTTTTTTGGTTGGTTGGTTTGGTTTTTTAAATACAAACTTGGAATACCTAAGCATCTCCAAAAAATCTCACAGGCTTATTTTTAAGTCATGGGTTTTAATCAAATACATAACTATTTCTCTTACCTACAGTGTACCAACTTGCATCTGTTAATTTGTTGATAACTGCTTCCTGGTAAGTTCCATCCGGATTCTTCACTTCCACAACAGTTCCTACCTAAAATACAAAAGCCACTTAGCACTGGAGAGCTTCTAAAACAAGACAATGAAGTTAACACTTCTGTATTTAGCAGACAGAGTTAATTTCAAACCTATTTCTATGTTAAATATACCATACTTTCCCAGTTTCACTTGAATGTATTTGTATCGCTCGAAACTCTTTCATTCCTCTAAAATAAGCCAACTAACTGAGCTGATTATTTCCCGCCAGCAGGTGGGGAACAAGAACCAATCTGAGTGATGTCATTCTCTTGTGTAAGAGCTTGCCCATCAAATCCTCCAGCTGAGTTTTCCAAAGCAACAGTGACTAAAAATCAGAGCCAGCCAAAAACTTCCTAGCTTTAAGGCCAAAAAGAACAAAGAGGCTTGCATCAGCCTGTATGCTGCATCCCTTTTAACTACAAAGGAAAAAGTTAACATGAAGAGTATACTAACTCTTGCTTTACAGCATTACCTTTTATGCTTCATGATCTATCTGGCCTGTGTAATAAATTGAACCTTCCACTTTCACCCCACACTGCATATACACATTTGTGTCAAATACTGAAAAAGAATGCTTTTCAAAGTGTTAGCAAAATACAAAAGAAATTTATTACCTTTAAGGGACCCTTTATGTGGTCATCCTGCACTTCCATTGTTGAAGAATCATGTCTAAAAGTTACCTAAAAAATATAATTCAACTGACAATCACTTGATACAGTTGAGCAGCATAAGCACATGCAGATGTCAATAGCCCTTCTCTTACTCACATTTTTCCACTTGCCGAAAACTGTGTTTCATTTGTATATTTTAGAAATGTGAGGAGACAATTTCTTAGTTGTCAAAACTTCTAAAATACTTTTTGTCTTTTAGAATAGAACCATTACCTCTAAAGGAAGTGACAAACAACAGTTTACCAACAATGTTTAATGGCTCAAAATGATCTCTGCAGTTTTCTTAATGATTTGAATTGTACCGCTCTAGTACCACACCAAGAAAGGAGAAAGTTTCAAGAGTTCTGAGCATAAATAATTTTTAAGAAACATGTATATTTCAAGGCTCTGAAATCAAACAGTTTTAGCACCTATATCTAACCCCATATCATGGGTTTGGTTTTGTTTTTTTTTTTTTGTTTGTTTTTTTTTGCTTTTGCTGATTAAAGTGCATTTCCCTCACTCACAGTTGAAAGACTCACACAAAAAAAGTACAGGACATTGCTGTCAACTAAACAAAACGAACAACCCAAACAGCCTTTCAGTTAATGTCAGCTTAGCCTACATGCTGCTAGTTAACTGGAAGCAAATGTACAGACAGCTAACATTTCAGTCTTAAAACTGGAATAAGTAAGTCCCATAAGTATTTCCAAGGTATTTTCACATGTCATTGGCTGTGCCTCTAATCCTACATGTTATCCTCAGAGAAAAAAAAAACCATCTGGAAATTCAAACTTATGCTTAAGTTATCTCTATCAGACACTACAGATATTCACCATTCATTTCACTCAAAATTAACTTGGTCACACTGGAAGTCACAGGATCCTCCTACCAATTACACCTGAAGTTTTATTTCCACTCCAGTTTTAGAATTCAGGGAAACAGAAAGTTCTGGCACTACGTTTTATGTGCATATGTACGCTTTATTAACACCCACAAATGACGTTCTAATGTGCATCAGAACACACTCACCTGGTGTAAGTATATGATGTTCTATTTAGTACTCATAATAAGTAAGAATGTAACATGAGATTCAGCCATGTAACAGTTAACTCAACTACAGCAATCCTACGGTAAATCTGAGGATTTGGTTCACAAGTGTACCCAAGGTTATGTTCTTGCTATTGTTCAGAGTTTCGCTGCAGCACACAGCAATAGCAAAATTTCCTTCAGAACAACAGCGTTCTCTAACACCAATTCTTCTACTTAGCTTCCTCAGGAGGAGAGTTTAAGGAGTTCTGTAAACCTCGAAAGTAACAAACAGCTGAGAACAGCACCTACAACTGAAACTAAGGAGAGCCTACCTTGACTGGCTGGTAAGAAAACAAATGCACTAAAATATTTTACTGCCTTCCAGGTGCTACTTCATGAAACAATCATCTTGACCATCTTGTGTTAGAACCACAGCAATACATATTGTTGTGAAAGTATGTTCTTTTAGAGCTGCATCATCCCACCTACTGATGGCAAATACTTACTGTCCACCTGACAGACAAAAATCATACTTTGTAACCTGAAAGCCAGACAAAGGATTCGGGCTAGGAATTCACTGGGTAAAGAATAGCCTTCTGAACTTCAGCCTGACAGATACAGGTATTTATTCCTCTCTTTGGAGGGATTTATCTAGAAATCAAAAGTTCAGTTCAGATGCAAAGTAATCTGAAACCTGTGGTCACTACTGGCTCATATGAAATATCCAGTATATCAATTCTGATTTAGAGACATCTGTTTTTATTTACTTCTGCAATTATCTTAAATGTATTTTACAGCAAAAAGGAACCCTATCCAAAACCATGAGCCAGCCACAATGTACTATGATGAAAGGTGAACAAAGCAAATTGCTACTGTTTATTCCAGAATGGTTTTTCTTTTTAAAGATGCCTTGGGGCTTCAACTCCTTTTGGGGAGAAGGTTTTTGATACCAACAGTTTTTGATTCTTGAGCTATTCATACATATTCAAAAAACACTGGTTATTAACAGAAATGTTCAAACTCCAAACTCAGTGTGACACCACTGGCCTTTCTTGAAGCTGAGAAGTGATGTCAGTATTTGTTAGTGTCGGTTGTAATTCCCATAGTATTTGTCAGTGTGGATCCTTTCTGTCTCAGGCAAGATTGAGACATTCAGCACATCATCAACCTGTTTAGATTCAGTTGGAATTTCCCTTTTCTTCACCATCCTGAAAAGACAGTCCTGGTAGGGTCTATACAGCAGATGCTTCACTAGTTTCTGTTTGATAAAGACCTACACAAAAAATGGTTTCTTCTGAAACTTCTGTGGAGGGTGCCCAAATACAAGTGGCTGTGGATGATGGTGCTAATCGTTTTAGGAGACACTCAAAATAAACTGGCTTAAATAGCTCTCTAAGAAAAACTGTAACGGATCCTAAGAAGTGGACTACCACTCTTCTAACACCGAAAGTCTTGTCCTTTAGTCAAATTTGTACTGCCTTCAACACTTTTCACAAGTCCAGGCAAATCTTAAGTTTTACTGCTTTCCATGACGAACTGTGTAATGCAATTGCATTGTCAATGTAAAATTCTGTACCATGCACAGAACCTGCCAAAGACTGCTAAACTGTGAAAGACACTACCTATTAATAATGAAATGATAAATACATACTACTTGTGTTAAATTATACTGTTAATGGAAAAGTTATTATGAAGGTATCTCTCAAAACATTCTAAGAAGCAGACTTCAATAGAAGAAAGCAGGTAAAAGGAGACACAATTAAATGTGTTTTACTTGCCTGAAGATGACATACTCCATATTGAAAAAAATTTTGTTGCCATCCTCCTTTCTCAGAGCAGGTAGTTACAAAACTTAAACGAAAGCTTCAAACTAAAATTGGTGTTATGAAGTTAACTGACTTTCCTTTTCCCCTAGTAGTTCTAGGCAACTAGGGCATAAAATATATTGGGGCCAGAAGAAACTGTTAAGGAAGCGGAAAATAAGTGCAGTAGATAAACTACCAGAATTCCAGACAAAGTACACCTGATAGTAAGAATCTTGGTTAGAGCTAATACTGGGGAAAGTCTGCATGTGCCAGGAAGAGCTGAAGAGATTTTTAGAGAAAATCAAGGGGTCACTGTTAAGTTTAGGGAACATATATTCCTGGTGGGGGAAAGACAATGTAAACTAATGTTGTTACTGCACACACACACAAAAAACTCAACCCCAAATCACATTACTCTACAAAGCAACAACAGTACTGGGGCTTAACTGCCCTAAGCTGTATAGTAACAGTGAAGACACACACACTTGAAAACCTGAATCCACAGGGCTTTAGGCACAGCCTCCACAAACAAATTACAGTAAACATTCTATCCCATTTCATTTCAAGATATTTCTGCAAAACACTGCAGTGACCAAACTGCAAGTAATGAACCCATAAGAAAATACTTATCAGTGAAAAACAACCTTAAGTGCAAGTGGCCATCTAAGAAGGTGGGCTGAAAGCCCTCTGAAGAGCTGAAAGGAGTTAAGAATTTCATTGATCTAGGCACAACACAATTCTTATACTTAAATACTGATACTTAACAGCTTAAATACCAATACTTAGTCACTTAAACTCAATGGTGCTGTAAAGCATAGACCAGCTGATGCTGTTTAGAGTTACGACTAATGAAATGAAAAGACCACTAATTTGCTTTAAAAGCTTTTTAAAGATGTCAGATTTAAGACTAACATAATCTCGTTATAGTTAACATTATTATCAAGTAAGTGGCAATAGTCCTTCCCACCAGGGCTTTTTGGAGACGGCCTGCTCTCTCCCTCATACATACTATAGGCAAAAAATTGGCCATAGCATGAGGGCAGATTCAAGCAATGCATGACAGTTTATAATGGAGGCTCTTCTATAACAGGTTATCACCACTCACAATTCACACATTTTCACTTATATTTACAGTAGATATAAGAAAAATATTCTGCCACTATAACTCTGTTGCAGAGCAACAACCTCATTTATTTTTCGTAAGTGCTTTTGATCCTTGCTCTGTTATAGTTCTGTATGAGGTTAAGAGGTAGAGCAGAAAAATAGTACCTGCTCCCAGATTAGAGGCTTTTAGGGCAACATTATCCAAACAGAAATATAAGGCTATTTTGCAGTGTAGACTTACTACACAATAAAAACAAGCCCAAACATTGTTCTCTCTATTTCTAGAAACGATACTTTAAATTTCCAAGGGATGTTAAAATGTATCTCTTGTATTCCCTCTCCACAATTTTTATTTGTGCTGCATGTGGCTTATATTGATTCATTCAGTCATTAACTAGTCATCATAAAGATTAGGTGAGATCCCCTGCTTGCTATTCTGTAGGACTCAATATGCCAAGTCTTTGTTGGAAGACAGCAGGGTTTCATCTTATTCCTGAAGCATTATCTAGTTGCTACTGCTAAATGGCAGTGACCTGTGCTCCTGAAGTAAAAGAAACCATGTTAAACCTATTTTAAGGAGTTTTAGCTATTTCCTGATAGCATTCTCCCATAGATAAGCCTACATTTGTCCTATTTTGTTCGATTACTTTAAGGTCAGCCTATGGCATTGAAGGCCACAAATACTGGATGCAAGCAGATGACAAAGCAGTGAAAGAAACAGAATGTATTTAATTGCATGGGTGTGGGGGAAACCCCTCCCCTCAACAAAAATATGCTGTTATTTCAAAGACCGCACTGGCAGCCTCCAAGGAAAGGACAGCGTCTTAGCTGTCTTGAGACTATAAAGAAGTTTCATGTTGTGCTCTTTTGAACATTGTTGCCTTTTTTTCCCCCCAAAAAAAGTGATTGCAGGAAAACCACGTACCTTGACTTTGACAAGTCTTTTTGCTGTCTTGATCTTGGCTTCACAGAAGGCTCCTCTATACTTCGCACTCACATCGGTGCCCACTGTGAGATAGGGAGGCTCATCAATGGCCTAGAACAGAAAGGAAAACAACTGGGTTTTAATTACTGGCCACTGGCAATATAGCTGTCATGGTCTCGCTAGCTTTTGTGGACAGAGCATTACAAAACAGCCCAACAAAACGTAACTTGACAGCATACATATATCACAGCAATAGAAACCCAGAACACAACACTAAGCTCATACAATGACTACGATAAATACAATAAACTGACACCACAGTTGTCTACAACAAGCACCACATAAGCCTCCAACCTCTGCACCATCTGAAGACACATCAGATGACCAGTTCTGCTGCAATGGTGAAGGCTAACCAAGCGTTCTATCTTCTCCTTTAATTGCCTCAAGTTCTGATGAGTCTTATGAAGACACTGGTGTTTATTTCCCTCAAATAATTAAGGTTTGTTTTTCATTAGTAAGTAGAACAACTCTGAAGAGACTTAGCTTTTTCTCTTTTGAATAAAGTAAATTATATAGGCGGGCGCTCACCAGGAGAGCAGTCCAAGAAGCGAGTACAGTAGGAGAATAATGGTAGGATAAACAGACAATGAAGGTGAAAGGCCCAGACAAAAGACAAGGTTCTGTAACAAGCAACAGAGGAACAGGGGGCACCCAAACAAGGAAACAAGAAATAGAAGAGGAGGAAAGTAAGTGGTTTGGGGGGGGGAGGAGAGCATGGTCCAATTAGTATGCAGAGTGAGCTCACGAAGGCTCTGTTCCTTCAAAGGAGGTCCGTCTTCCCTCACACAACCTCTCCTAGTGTAATTTGGGGGGGGGGGGGAGAAGTGAGATTCTGCATAACTGAACTACTTCACTATCACTTCACAGAATGTGGGTCAGAAGAGAGAAGGTAGAGGGTGACAAGAAACAGGAGTGAGATATGTTTTCAAGAGCTGCAAGCCTCCACGCAGCCCCAAACAAGAGCTGGGAAGAGAGATCTAAGCCCTTGTCTAAGGCTACATCATGTTTCTCCACCCCTACGGATTCAAACACAGCTTACAAGAGGCAACTCTGGCACGTCCAGGCTCTCTGTGGGGAGAATATAATCTCCTTCACAGGTCTCAGAGCTACTATTTGATACTGAGGTGCCTGCACTCAGCATCAGGTAATTCCCGCTGGCTGTTTCCAGCTCCAATACGTCAGAAGTAAAGGCACGCAAATATGTACCTGAATGCTTCAATGCATGGTTTTTCAGAAATTTAAGTTTTGCAAAACTTTAAATTGAGAGACATGAGATGCTACAGTGTTAACTCCATATTAATGTTGTTTTTACCTCTCATTTTCAGGTAACAGAATATATTTCAGAGCACTAGAAAACCATTATCAAACTGCACTTGTTAAGATCATTAGAAACTTAAACACTCTAATGAATCCCTCCCTTTATTTCTCTGGTGTGTGACTGCATGCATAGTAGGATATACCACTCTGGTGGTAGTATATCCATAAACACATCTGTTCCTATTCCAGACTTCATAACAATAAAATTCAACTGAGATTAATGGAGGTATCTGTTAAAGAGTGTTGGGATTCTGAAATTCATTCCCTCCTTGCCTAACAGTGTAAATATACTTGCCTTCAAGGCAGGCTGCAATGCTTTTTTCTTACTCCACTTGGAAGTATGTTGAAACAGGGACTCAGATGACAATAGACTCAGTTTTGCTTAGTAGTCTCAGTAGAGTGTACTAAGTAGCAGCTGCTTCACACAATATAAATCTGAACAGGGGAAATCAGTGATGTACTTGCAAAGTCAGTAAAGCTCTAAGAGGGGAGCATGCCTACTGCTCTCCCCCACTCCTTCATGAAGAAACTCTTCAGCACTAGAATGCTGATAGCCTTTTATGCCCTCTGATCTTCCAAACTTATAAGAAAGCACGGAATATTGAGATTACTTTAACAAGACAGATCCCAAGTGGGTCCACACAGATGCACATAGCTAGAATTCTCCTATAAACAAACACCTCAAGAGCTTGTTGTGTCAGTACCAGTCTATACCTCCCTATACGTCCAAACAAATTATCTCAAAGGCCAACTCATAATGTTAAGTTTAACTTACAGAAAATAAAGAACATTTTTCCTTCACTACTACTGAACATTAAAAAAAAAAAAGTCTGCAATACAGAGAGCAAAGACGATCTGATGCTCTGGTCTTTGGCTGTTTGGAAGTTTATGGCAGAGGAACAGGCAAGCCAACAATCCAACTTTAAAAGAGGATTTAAAAGTCTTATTAAGAGTATAATCACCAATATTAGTCATTACTTTATGCCTACTCTGGCTTATTTTTAAAAGCTTCTTCCAAAAAGAGTATCCATTTGAAGAACAAACATCTGTAAGAATTGATTTCTGTAAGAATCGATTTACTACCACACAAGTTAATTTCAATCCCTAGCCTAAATCTCCTGAAGTTACTTTTACAATTGCTAACTCCTTTCACTGGAATTAGTTAATATTTACCACCGTAAATCAAGCAATTTCAAAAAATAGCAAGCATATGGACCATTTGCTTACCACTGTAGGTATGTTTACTAAAACCACAGTACTGGAGTGGCTTTCAAGAGGAAAATTTACACTGATGAAATGCATTTCTTTAATTACCATAATGAATGATTATACATTTTAAAATAACCATGTGAAATCTTCAGTAGATACACATAGGAAATTTTTCTGCAATTTTATTATTCCATTGAAACAAATTATGTGGGCTTTTATTCCCAAATCACTTAACTGAGATTTTTCAAAATACTTCCCTCATTCTGACTGATAGTATCATCTGAAAGTGGTAAGTTAAAACAACTAGCAAGATATGATGCATCATAGAGAATGCAAACTAGAAAAGTAAACAGTAACAATCAAAGTCTGGCATTAATGTAAAATAATCCTTACCATGCCTTTGTCATTTTCCTCAACTCTGAGTCACCTGTTCTCAAGCAGGTTTTATTCAATTTCACCAAAATTAGAGGCTAAAAATAAGTATACAGCTATTTTTACCTTTCTGTTATCCCTTCTCTGCTTTCTGCTTACATCATTTCATAGACATCCTTATACTCAGAGTGAATGTATCCTTGCCTATTTAATTTTTACATGCTTTAGCAGGATTTGGTTTTATTCTTTGCTTTTCAGTGCAGGTTACCAGAAAAAAAATAGTATGTTAAAATGCAGCTAAAATACGAGAACACGATTCAGTAATCTTGGAAAAGCTATTACAAGCATATTGAAATTATCTTAACACGAAACACTGCAGCAGTCTTTTAAGGGGAAGACACAACACTGGACTACCCTACAATAAAAAGTTCTGAGCTTCTTACAATTATTAAAGACTTCATTTTGAGACAACTCTACTAGTCTCATGTGTTGCTGTCTCCAAATCTCTGCGCTGCAGTCTCAGCTCTCATTTTATTTTAAAACACAACAGAATCTGAATTTGCATTTACATTTTATATCTAAACATAATCTCTTGCACTTTACAATCTGTAGGTAAGAATCATCTTTTCAGTAGCGTATCATAAAACAATCAGTAAACTTTTGCTCAACAGGAAAACTGAGAAGTATGCCCAGCATATGCCATCATTCAGAGCAGCTTTGATATACACCCCAGATTGCCTCTCTCAACCCTTCTATGTCTCTGTACTTCCTTGAAACATTTTTCAGTTCACACAGGTCAAAGAAAGGGAAAAGTGAAGCTGATGGTAATCTCTAGGTTTGCCCTCTCCCTGTCGTCCCCCCCCCTTTTTTTTTTTACCATTGGCAGAAGACTGGTAATTAGGATGCTGATGAAAACCACCCACCAAGCAGGAGCTCACATGAGGGATCACTGTTTTGTTTGCATGAATGGCTGAGGCCGGGCTACCCGAAGGGGAGCAGGCTCTGCTGGGTGACAACAGGAGACGGACACCCTTCTCCAAACGGAAAGCGGCGGAGGGCGGCATCTGAGGCCTCGCACCCGCAGGAGCGTGGGGCAGCAGCCAGGCTGGGGGCACGGAAGGGCTGTTTTGGAAGGAGACTGGGGCGAGACCTTCCCCAGCATCCGCTGAAGCAGGATACTGACTACTGAAAGCTGAACGTTAC